CTGGAAAGCCACCCCTGACATCCACATCAATCACAACATACATGAGAATGTGAGAACACTGGAAAGCCACCCCTGACCTCCACATCAATCACAACATACATGAGAATGTGAGAACACTGGAAAGGCATCCCTGACATCCACATCAATCACAACATACATGAGAATGTGGCAGCAGTACACTCCTCTCCACCCCATACCCAGGACCCTTGCAAGTTTAAAACCTGGCCTGCCACCATCCATATCTCTCCTCCTTCTGGTCTGCTCTAGGGTAGAGAGTGCCTTTCAGAGGTAAAGAGGACTGTTCTCCTTCTTTTAAGCTAAAAAAAAAAAAAAATCACTACATAGTTAGAAGTATAAAAATGTTCTCATCAAGTGATGGAAGCCAGGCCTTTCCTTGGTCACGTGGTCACACACGGAGCACAACACTCCATGAACTACTGAAGGAAGAATGAGCAGGTGGGTATTAACATACAGTTAATACATACAGTCTTAACATACAGATTCCAGAAACGCAGGCTACGGCAAAAGGAACACATATGCCCAGAAAGTTCTGACTAACAGTTTGATAGATAAACCGAAAGGCCTGCATCTCAGGGCTCCACATTGGTCTTTTTCTTGAAGCAACAAACGAAAACATATAAAACGACCCCCCTCCCCCCCACCCCCGCTCCAGCTACCCTGCCAATTGAGCATCTATATTGTTTGCACTGGAGTCAGTACTGTGCACACATTAACTTACCGTATTCTTCCAGTCCTCTCCCTGTAGAAATACCCAAACCCCATTTACCACAAGAGAACTCGGTGAATGAGGGCCAAGCAAGATAGATGAAATAGTATGATTAAAAAAAAAACTATTTACATGGAAATCCTGTAATTCTGTTATGTAGACAGAAAATTGAGATTTTTTAAAAAGGGCTACACCATTTTCCCAAAATCACACAACCAGCTAGATGCAAGATTATATACACAAAAGTCTCCTTTATCTTACATTTCATATAAAATTATGGAAAACTTAAAAACCAACACAGAGTAGGCTGGAGCAATGCTCCAAAGAACAGAATCAAGATAATCACTCTATTTGGGATTTTTGTTTGCTTGCTTTTTGGCCCTGGACTCATGGTAATCCTCCTGCCTCAGTTCCCCAATTGCTAGGATTACAAGCATGAGACACAATACCTAGCTGAACTTAAACTTGAAAACACTGAAATCTGGCTTGGAAATACTGGCCACAAAAAGAGTTTCCTTTAACAGCATATAAGGGAATTTGGCTTTTGGGTTTCAGTTTTACCTTTGAGCGAGAGAGATGGCTCAGTGTGCAAAAGTGCTTGCTGAGCAAAAACCTGGTGACTGAGTTCCAGCTCTTGAACCCACATAAGTGGCTAGATGATGCGGTAGCATGTATCTACAACCCCAGCATTACTACAAGATGGAAGCCAGAGACAGGAGAACATGCTGGAAGCTCATGGGTCAGTCTAGCCAGAAGTCCACAGCACAGCAGCCCAAATAAGAGATAACCTGCCTCAGGAAGAGAAAGACTGAAGAGATACCCTCTGACCTCCACACACATGCCATGACACATACGCACCACACTCAAACTCACACACACAGGCACACACATGTAAACACACATATATCACTCACATTTACAATCGTACATACATAACAAATAACCAAAGCTATTTCATGCAGTCAGTCCACTTTTTCATGTCTATTGTATTACAGACCTGTCGATGGAGCAATGTCTTCACACAAGTCAATATGGCATCATCCTCAGTATATCACGTACTGGTCACATATTAAATGTGCATTTAGCTTATTACCTATATTAACTACGATTTAGACCAAAAAGAAAAGTCATAGTCATCACCTATAAGCCAATTATATCATCTGGTTCTTAGATAATCTGGTGAGATACCTGAGGGAAAATATCTACACTGTCAAACTCTGCAGCACAGGCATTAGTTGATTCCGAAGAAAAATTCCTGTTCCCTATTAATACAAGTTAAACATAGATATAACAATATAAATATAGATATATTTATAAACATAAGCTAACGCTATTTAAGTGTGACTGCACTACACTGTCATGACAAACAAGGATGGATTACTAAGAACTCAGGTTGATTAAGCACTTACCACTCTAAACACATAGATCATGCTATCTAACACTTACCAAAGTCCTTTGAGACACATATGCTGAGGCAGAGTCCATGGAAATGAGGGTCTTGCACCATTTTTAAACAAAACATGCCTTTGCCCTTCTCTAGTAAGTTATAGGCGTTGAAGCATTTTTACACTTTCAGACTTGCTTCCCACCCCACCCCCCCACGAAGATCTAATATAAATGCCTCTCCTCTCAGAACAACTCCCTTCCCACAGAAAGCTGTGTGCTACAAAGGTGTGTGCGCTGGCTTTCCAGAGTGCTCAGGAGCAAATGGAGGTGGGTGACGTGGAGGCAGACGTCACACGGATCTAAAGACGAGGCCTGCACGTGCAGGTCAGAGTGGGATGGGAACCCCAGTGAGTCCAAAATAAAGAGGAAAGAACGTCTTAGCTGAAAGATGCACGAATGCACAGTGGCTGGGAAGTGGCTAGGTCAACGCAGTGCCCGCTGAGCAAGCACGAGAACATGAGTTCGGGTCCCCAGCACCCATGTCACAAGCCAGGCACAGTGGTGCACTCCTGTAACCCCACCTCTGGGTCACAGAGGCAGACATTCCCCTGGGACTTGCGAGCCAGCCAGTCTAGCCGATGAATGAGCTTCACGTTCAATAAGAGACCTTGTCACAAAGATGAAGGAGAGTGATTGAGGAAGACACCTGACCTCTGACCTCCACATGCACACATACCCCCACATGCATATGCATATACAAAAGGAAGGAATAGAAAGGGGGGGGGGAACCTAGGCTGCCTTTGTTGATATGATTTCCAGTTTTTCACATAATGTATAAAGTTTTGCTTCGGCCCATAATAAAAGTTCACTGGAAAATTAACTATCTGAGTTACGACAAATGCTTTGGTTTTTTCAGCCAGCTCACTGGTCAAGAAAAGTGCAACAGGACACTGATGTCCCCTGCCCCCTCTTTAGAGGGCACTTTCAAGTGCTGGTCTGGACTATTTTGGTAATCTATATAATCAATTCCAATAAGTAAATCTATCTTTACTGAAATATAGTTTTTGGAGATAAAGGTGAAGCAATACAGTATCATACTGATCTGTTCTCTCCCTTTTTAATATTAATAAAGTAATTATCTTTTCATCTCCGGCAAAGATAAGTGAAATATTTAAACAGCTGATATTTCAGCTACAACTAATTAAAGGAAAATAACCAGCTTTTCAAATACATATTCACACGCAGGAACCTGGCATCCAAATGCCCTCCCTTTGCAGTTCAAACGACTGCTCTTCCACAGACACAAAGGCCAAAGGCACACTGAACAATGACAGGGAATATCCTATCACAGCAGATGCAGAATCTACCAACATGTCACCCAGGTTCCCGCCGCTTTCCAGCACATCTCTCATCGGACACTGAGCTGCCTCCATGCAAGGCTACAATTTAATCCTCACGGCAGATGCTTCACAAGACACAGCTCAACACACACTCGGGTGTCTAACCCCAACTTGTAATCCACTTTCAATACAGCCTTTCATATACAGCACACTATTCAAAGATAAAGTTAGTACTATACCTGGTTATTTCTTCTTTGAGTTTACAGGGATCTTCAGCATAGAACTTAATACCAAAATACAAAGTATATGGAGGTCCAGCTTAAAAAAAAAAAGTAAAAACTAATTATATTTCACATTATAATCAAAGTTGCATTGTAATATGTAACAATTAGGAATTATATTCACATATGGAAAGTACATTAAATATAAAAAACATCTATTTCAAGCCGTTGACAGTTCATTTACATACAAATTATATTTTAAGATTTACACTCTCACATCAAATAATATTAGTACTACATTTTGCCTTTAGGTATACTGTGTATCCACTGTGTGTGTGTGTGTGTGTGTGTGTGTCTGTCTGTCTGTCTGTCTGTCTGTCTGTCTATGTAATTCTGGCTGGCCTGACTGAGACCTGCCATGTAGACCAGGATGGCCTTAAACTCACAGAGATCCACCTGCCTCTGTGTCCCCAGTGTTGGGATTAAAATACCCTTACGTACCACCATGCCAAGTTTATATATACTTTTAAAAATCATTGATGAGTTGGAATTTAAACTGTGCTAAAATGGAAGTTTCTTTACTTGGGAAAAAAACAGAATTAGGGGTTGGGGAGACGGTTCAGTGCGTAAAAGTACTGGCTGTACAAGCAACAGGATCTGAGTTCAGATCCCAATTTCACTGCAGAAAGCCGGGTGTGGCTGAGCATGCTCCTGTAGCCCCAGCAGGGCTGACAGAGGAGTTTCTGGAGTTTTCTGACCGCCAATAATCTAGCTCCTGGTTCCATGCGGGGTCCTGTCTCAAGGGAGTAAGGCAGGGAATGACAGAGTAGGATGCCTGACATCCTCTTCTAGTCTTTGCATGTAGGTACATGTACCCACAAGTACATAGGTGCGCGTGCGCGCACACACGCGTGCACGCACACACACACACACACACACACACACACACGCACACACACGCACATGCACAGAATAATATTTACAAAATATTTCTAAAGACATAAGAACATAAAATGGAAAAGGCATGGTTCAAGACTATTGAAAGCAGGAAATGAATTCTAAGCGCATGTTCATTCCCACATAAACACAGAAAACATTTAAGACCCAAAATATCACAATGTTCCCGGTTCTCATCTCTGGTTAGACAGTCTATGTACAATTTTTATTAATTTATATTTTCCTATTATTCATTATTGAGGGAAGGAGGTAGGAAGGAGAGGCTCTTCTTGCCATCAAGAATGCATATTGACAAATAAATGACCTTTTAAAGCCATCCACTTATCACATCAACTATCAAAAAGAAGGTTTGCTAAACTTCTCTGCAAAAGGCTATAAAGACCGCTGAGCAGCAGAGGGGTCTGTGTCCGTGAGTCACAGGCACGGGACAATGGACCAGCCCCTGAGTATTCACACGGTGGAGATCTGTATGAGCTGGTGTGGAGAGGCTCACCAGTCTACAGTCCTGACACCTCATAGGGAAAAAAAGTTAATCTATGATATCTGTCCCAGGAAAAAATACACTCGGAAGTGTAAACTGTGGCAAATGCTGGGAAGAGGAAGTAGCAGTACTCTGCAAATGGATTAGCTAGAATTTTCATAATCAAGTATATTTCTTAAGAAAAATAATCAGAGAAGCCATGTGATAGCACACTATCTGTTGCATTTAAACGATTGTAATTTTTTTTAATTAATTTATTTTATGTGTATGTGTGTTTGCCTGCATATATGTATGCACACACCACGTGCATGTCCGTCACCCTCCAAGGTTGGAAGAAGGAGTCAGAGCCCTGGAACTGTAAGTACAGACAGTTGTGAGCTGCCATACAGGTGAATTAAACCCAGGTCCTCTGTAAGAGCAGCCAGTGCTCTTAACCACTGAGCCATCTCTCCAGCCCCATTAACTATTCTAAATAGAGAAATACTTCCTCACTTATGCAAAGAAGATACTTCTTATTCATTTACTACACACAAAAGGACTAAATCTATGGACGACAAAAAGACAAAATTTAAAAATTCAGAAACAAAGCCTAGCATTGCAGATTCGTGGGGAAATACAGTCAACACATCGTACAGGAGTATGATGGTCTCGTGGGTGCTGTCATATTGTAGTAAGCCGCTCCTAAAAACATTTCTTACTTCAGAGTGAGTGGATGTAGACTGTACTGTTTTCAAAACTTTGAACTTGCAAGCTGGCAGTAACTATTAGTAGAGCTAATATGCTTTGTTTTTGTTTTGAGGCAAGGTCTCCTGTGGCTCATGCTGGCCTTGAACCTGCCCTACAGCTGAGGTTGATCTGAAGTCCCGATCCCCCATCTCCACCTCCCAGCTGCCGCTTCCTTTGTTTTAAAATGGGCTTTTTACTTGGTGCTCCAACTGATTGTCAGTGGTGCAACTGATTATTTCACCAAGGCTCTGCCCCACCAACAGAAAGCATGGCATGTGCCTGGTGAAAACAGTGGACGCCACGTAATTGATATAAAGAAACTCTAATGCGCTTTCATTTTAAGTTAAATAAATGAAGTCATAACTTAAATGCTGGGTGAAAGAAACAAATTAGATCCAGTAATAAAAATAAAGTTCATTTATAACATACAAACCACATTATTGGCTATTATCACATACTCACACATGTTCTGTACTCTCCCAAAGCCCTATTAACGACATATGTAGGACATCAAGAGCAGGCCTCTGCCTCTCCCTTCATCTCTGCCTTCCTTCATGAGTTACTTCTTACATTTCGTGATTTTTTTTTTTAAATCGACATTTTAAAACCTTTGCTCTAGTTTCCTATCAGTACTCCATATATTTGGTTTTTATGCATAGTCAGTCAATCACTGTTTGTATTTCTGACAAACACACCCCTCAACACAGACACCAGGGAGGCAAGACTATTAAATATTTAGAAGAGGCAGGAAGTCCAGGCCGACGGCTGATGGTCTGTGTCAATCAAGCTCTGTTCCTGAGCAGATGGGTCTGCCTGTGCCCGCAGGCGGCTGGGCTTTCACCTAGGGGGGCAGGGAGGCAGGCGCGCATGCCACTAAGATGTGCACAAAGAGAAGAGGCCTTCTATAGACTCCAGGGCTACGTTCATTCTGTGGAACATGACAGATGACCCCTAGTCACCCGGCCCAGACACTTCATCTCTGTCCAGTCATGGGTAGCTAAGCAGAAACTTGGAAAATGCACAATGAAAACCACTCAGCTTGAGTTAATTTTCTTTAAGGGCTTCGGCCTTTTCCACCGCCATACAGAGGGCCTTGTGTTAGTTCATAATGCCCAGTGTGGCGGCGCACGCCCTTAATCCCAGCACTCAGGAGGCAGAGACGGGTGCATCTCTGTGAGTTCGAGACCAGTCTGGTACATCGTAAGTTCCAAGTCAGCTAAGGATATACAGTGAGACCCCGTTCTCAAACAACAGTAACAACAGCAAATTCATGAATATTTCATTCTTGCCCACAGCCTGGAAGCCACCACAGAGCAGGCGAAGCGCTGGGAAGTTAAGCAGCTTGCCTGAAACCCCAGGGATGAGAAGGAAGCTTACCTATGTCTAGTATTTGGTGCTGTGTGGGCACTGTCTTCTACAGCCTGGGGAAACAGACCTTGGGTGCAAACTCCCATCTGGAGCACCTGGTAGAGAAATCTACGGCCCTAGAAATGGTCATTTATATGCAAGAATATTTCTAGCCAGACATTTTCTGGCTTCTTATCTAAGACTAACTACAAAAATGGATGCTGATGGAGCAAATCACTAACTCAGTAGAATCTGGAATCCATCCCTTTAACGAGATCGACGTTAAGAAACTTTTAAAGTGAAGCTAATATCATTTTGTTTTATCAAAGGAAAAAAATGTAGGAACCAGACACTGGGAATTCCCCAATCGACCATTCATAGTGTCTTAACGACAATAATGAATTTCCACTTAGTTTAGGGCAAGTAAGTCCAGATATACCTATGAGGATTTTGGTGACCAGAAATGGCCTCCCATTTGTCTGGCTACTCACTCCGACCATGCTGTTTTCCTCCCTTATCAAAACAGTTCACGAGATAAGACAAAAAGTCTTCCATGACACAGTTCTTCAGCTGAGACTGTGTCTTTTACACACGATACATCACATATTTAACATTACTGCATTTGGGGGGAAAAAGTACTGCTTCTTACAATGAATGCTGTTTAAATAGAATATCTTAATGCACTGAGTAGGCACGCTTTAAAATTTCACCTTAATGGGCTGAAGAGATGGCTCAGTGGTTAAGAGCCCTGCCTGGTCTTCCAGAGGACCTGGGTTCAATTCCCAGCACCCACATGACAGCTCACAAGTGTCTGTAACTCCAAGATCTGACACTCTCAGACAGACAGACATGCAAGTAAAATAAAAATAAATTATTTCTTTAAAAAAAAATCACCTTAAAATATTTTGAAAGACTTACTCACTTTTATGTGTATGGGTGTTTTGTCTGCATGTATGTCTATACACTACATGTATGTCTGGTGTCCAGGAAGGCCAGAAGACAACATTGGATCCTCTGGAATCGGGGTTACCCAGGTTATGAGCCATTGTGTAGGTGCTGGGAATCAAACCCAGGTCCTCTGGAAGAGCAGCAAGTGTTCTAACCAGTGGGCAATCTCTCCAGCCCCTGTGTTTGTCTGCTTGTTTTTGAAATAAGAATTTACTCTGTAGCCCAGGCTAGCCTGGAACCACTACATAGCCCAAGCTGGCCTCAGTGAGTGGCAACCCCCTGTCTACTACTATTTTACTAGCATTACAGGCATGAACCACCATGTTCCACTAAAATGTTTACTTTTTTTATTATCTCAGGAAAAACCTGCAAGTTTATTTTAAAATAATTATCCCTGAAATTTTCCTGAGTTTCTGATAGGCATTTTTTTTTAAATTGGTTCAAATGGTCCAGGGCTGTAATTTATAAACTTTGGTGATTTCCACCAAGGGAGAAAGCAGATAATAACAATGGTGCTGATGTTCAGAGAATCTGGACTTGCTCCTGAGGGTCCTGCAGTTCCAGGTTCCCAGTCCTTTCTCAGGTCTGGCTGCACTCCTAGGCTGGGATCCACGAAAGTTCACACAACCAACAGGACCCCAGAGAACGGGCGGACAGGCATGGGAGCGAGCGAGTGACAGGGCCCAAAGGCAGGAGGCCCCCGAGGTTCTGATTGACAGTCAGTCACAAATTTGAACAAAATGACTCACTGGCTACAGAAGTCAGTCTGGGATAATGAAGAATTATACAGACAATGATCGCTATAGCAATGTGAATTATTTGATGTCAGTGAATTACATACAAAATGTTTCGATTTTTTAATTTATGTAATTTTACCACAAAAAAAATGTAAAGGATTATTCTTTTGCATACTTAAGTTTGTGAGTGTGTTTATAAATAAAACCTTGGGAATGAATATTAAGATTAAAGAATATGTATTTAACTACATCAACTTTGATCATTCCAAAAGCTAACCCCTGACAAGAAATGACCTCTCTCCTTGAAGTCAGAAACTTTTCATGTTACAGGCCCTGTGGCATGATAACAAAACACTCCATAACCCAGGAACCAACTCTTTCCTCTCTCCTCCTTTCTTCTTTTTAAGGTCAAGTTTTAAAGACAAGCATGTACAAAAGTCACAGATTAAAAAAAAAAAAAAAAACAAGAGAGGGTGTATCTCTAGGACACACTCGATACAATCATAGGATCCTGAGCATCTGATTAAATTAACCCCACCCCAGTCTAGAGAGTCTCACAGCACACAACCCAGGAACGATTCTCTCTGCCCTACTGTTCCCTCACCGGCACTAAATTAATCACAAACCTTTCACCGTGCCCAAGTCACTTCTCACAAAATTAAAATGAAATACCTACTGTTGATCAGCTCCTTGTGTTCCGCGAGAGTTTTTGCTGGATCCAGCCAGTACTGTAAGACAGAAAGGGGCCATTGTAAAGTTAGATGCGTTTCGTCCACCTCTGCATCAAGAGTATTTCTGAGGTATTACTCAAGTGCTATTTAAACACTGGACAAGTAAACCATCATGCATCGTGTCATATCCACAGACTCACTAAGAAGCCTTCTGTGGCCAGACTACTAAAGAAAAGGAAGATGCCCGCTGCTGGTGTCCAGGGAGAGCCAGGGCAACGATGTGCTTTAGCTGGACTGTACTCACTGAAGGGTGGATGGCAGCCAGACACTTACAAATGAGTGGTATTACCTGGAAGACAGTGGCCACTAAGAAGACCCTCTAAGTGTCTTTCCGTGGCCCTCCTTCATGGTCCCCTGAGTCACGTCTCCCCATAAACTGTCCCCAACCTCTTCCCTAGCTGGCCCATACCCTGTAACAATTGCTACTAGGTATTAGGAAGAAAGCAATCAAATTAGCTCAAATCGTCATTTGGGGTCCAAGAGGGGAGTTCAACTCCGCTGAGGTCCTGAATCTGGAGCACAGCTGTGGGGATTTCTACCTGGATCGCCCTTGCCATCACCATGAAACAGGGGATGAAGAACTGAAAAGCTCTGCGTGTGCCCCACAGGGTGTCTATGCAGAATAGACGTTGCAATTCACACGGTCTTTAGCTGGCTCACCCACAGCTATGCAAGCTCGTGTGAGGCTCGCTCTTGGTAACTGGCTTTAGCCCATGTAAGGTATTTGCTTACTAACTCACATCAACCTTTAAGGACTAGAACTGCAGGCAGGATGGGGAATTCTTTTCCCCTGTGAAACAAAAATCACTGAAAGAAGGGAGCCCCACAGCCTCGGCTCTCCCTCTGCAAGAGGGGCAGGGAGAAGCCGCAGAGGAGGCTCAGGCTCTCATGGGAGGCACTGAAGGGCCCAGGGGGGCAAACAGATGGAGCCTCTCCATCATTTACCCTAGACAAATATGGAGGGCCCACAGGAACACCCAGGAGCCATGTCCATTGGCCTAAATAAGGCTCCATTCCCACAGCAGGGAGAGGAGAGCTGGCATCCTGCAACTATGGCCACCGAATTCCCAGCACTTCCGCATTAACCCTGATGAGATCACTCAGTCCCACCAGACCTGCCGTCCCCCCCGCCTCTGCCCCCCAACACTCAGGAGAGAATCAGGTGCTACAAGGGAGGTCCAGGAGAACCTACCCACCAGTGTTCCCTTTCCTTCCCTTAGGTGAACCGTGATTATAAACAGAGGTTCTAATATGTTATGCAATCCCCTTACCTTCTATTCCAAATGATCTGTGATATATGATAAGCGTTCACACTGAGTGCCCCAGTAAAGCATATTACTGCAGTACTAGCCTCAATTCATCGGCACCCATCTGCCGCTCTCTCAAGGCAGTTCTAAGCTAACGTACACAAGTCCACCGACTTAAAACAGAAGAGGTGTTTGAATCAGGGGCTGTGGCCAGGGAAGTTCTGTGGAGCCCACAGTGACCAAAGATGCTGCTTTAGTGCTGACACACTGCTTCACAGGGAAATGCTGGCTCCCTGTGCAGAACGAAATCAACCCACTTGTTGCTCGGTATTTGGGACACAACGCAGACTCATTCTTCTCTGTGTATAAAGCTAAGGATTCTTCCCATGAAATGGAAACATACAGCAGATGGACGATTTCTTTCCTTTGCTGTAAGTGAAAGGGTTGGAAGCTGGGGAGGTGACTCAGGGGATAATAACAATTGCCGTTCAAGCCTGGCAACCTAAGTGTGACATGTGTGACACAGCACATGACCATACTCATGCTTGCAAGTGCACACACAAAAGGGGGGGGATAATAAATAAAATGTATTTTTTATTTATTTATTTATTTATTTATTTATTTATTTATTTATTTATTTATTTATTATGTATACAGTGTTCTGTCTGCATGTATCCCTGCAGGCCAGAAGAGTGCACCAGATCTCATTACAGATGGTTGTGAGCCACCATGTGGTTGCTGGGAATTGAACTCAGGACCTCTGGAAGAACAGCCAGTGCTTTTAACCTCTGAGCCATCTCTCCAGCCCCAAAATGTATTTTTTTTTAAAGATTTGAGTATGCCTATGTATTTCAGAGGGAAAGCTAACAAACACAAACACCCACTTGACAGTTGCTTAGGTTTCTACTGCTAAATAACAAGTTGTCAAAAAAAAAAGGTGAGGCTTCAAACAACGCCCATTTATTATCTCAGAGTTCTGAAGGTCAGTGGCTCTCTTCTCTCTGGGTGGCTGGGCTCAAGACATCACCAATGGCTGGTGACCCATTCACAGAGCCCATAAGAGAGAGTACTGGAGGCAGGTGGGCCCTTAGAGGTTCTTCCCATCATCCCCACGGGTCAAAGCTGGTCCAAATACCAGGCTTTAATTTTAGGACTTACATCACACACAGAAGGATACAAGAAGTGCCAACAGGAATGGGAGAGATGGGAAGGGAGATTGAAACCGCAAGGAGCCAATGAGAGCAAAGCTTCTAAACTCTCTCTTCTAAAATGATTAAAAAGTGTCAAATTTTATAGACACTTCAGTTCAGGGCATTTTGGGTAATAAAATGCTTTCTGATGTTTATTTTTGGCTGGTACACAAGAACATAAAAGTTCTATGTTAATGGTGCACCGTGGAGCTCAGTCTGTGTATATACTGTGCCATTTTCTGTTTTTCAAACACTGGGAAAGCCATGGGAAAAAAAAAAAAAAAAGGAAGGAAGCTTTTATCTTTAAGGGATATGAAAGTATGGTTAGTGTACCAAACAAAGCACATGAATGATAATCTGTACAATTTAACCTCTTTCCATGAGAATGATTTAAATTTTCATGTAAAAAAAAAAAAGCACAGTAAAGTTCCTGAGATGAAACAGAAATTACAGTTTTGTGCAAAGCAAAGAAAAGCAAGATCCAGCCAAAGACCATTCAATCAGCTCCCTGCACATCAGATATGCTAACTACGCATCCATCCAGAGCTTGCCAGGCACAAATCTCATTTTATCAAAATGGAAGGCAGAGGTGATGGAGGTCAGACAATGATAAATGCTGCAGAATGTAAACAATAAACACAATCTACCAGGTTCCACAGGCCAACATCCTAAAATGCAAAATCCACTTATGTTCAACCAAGGGAGAGATACGACCTTGGAACCAAATCAGCCACAGTTACTAGGGCACTGTTACCACGCATTATCAACAAGCAATCCAACAGCACATCTCTGTTCACACTGAACACACCAGACTGCTCATACCCAAGAGGAAAAAGGACACAGAAATTTGCTACTGAATGCAGTATCCCATTCTTAAGGTTCTGGAGGTAGGCTTTAAGCTACTTAACATGCACAGAACACTCTCTATTGACACCCGTTATATGTCACACTAGGCACTGTCCTGGGAAGTAAGATGAGCCTCTAACCTCAAGGTATTTGAAGCCTAGCCAGGGACATACAGACACAGAATTATAGTACAGAGCATGAGAAAATGTACATAAAATGAGTACATACATGATATTAAAATTACACACAAGGGAAATGAAAAAAAGACTATACTAAGAAAAAAAAAACACTGAACAATATGTTCATGAAAAAAGTCCTCAAGATTTATGTCTGGAGGAAAAAAGAATCTTATAATGTTATAAAATACATGTCAATTGTCTCAATTGCCTGTATGTATGTGCTATGTGTATGTGTTTATGTGGATGCATGTGGAGTATAGAGGTCCGTATCAGATGTCTTCCTTGACTGTTTCTACTGATTTTTATATATTTCATATATAATATTTCCATTGAGAATTTTATACATGCATACTATGTATGTTGTTCATATTCCTTCCTAACTTCCCAAACCCACCTCCCACCTCCCCCCAATTTTGTGATCCACCTTGTGTTCTGAGACAGAGTCTCTCATTGAGCCTGGCGGTCATGAACTTAGTTAGGCAAATTGGCCAACGAACTCCAGGGACCTGCTTATCTCCACCCCACAGCCTGGAGTTACAGGCAAGCCTCACCCTGCCCAGCACTTAGGTAAGTGCTGGGGATCCCAACTCATGCCCTGCTTGCATGTCAGCCCTTTACCAAGGGAACTACCTCCCTAGCCCTCCTCTACTGCTGCCCATGCAAGTGAACCTGCTTCTAAGTGGCAGCACAGTCCTTTGCCAGAGAGCACTATAGTGACATTGGTGTTACCCAATAACTAAGACATCAGTACTCATGAAGCACCCTGTGTACCATTTGGGTACCATTTGTCCTCTCCCAACACTCATGTTGAAATTTGGTCCCCAGTGTAACTGTGCTGAGTATGACCTTTGAGAGACATTAGTTCACGAGATGTCACCCTCAGGGATGGATTAATGCTGCTTTCCTGGGGATGAACTACTTATGGGAGCAGGACTATTATGAAGCAAGGCTCCTCCTTCTGCTTTGTCTCTTCCTCTTCCTATCCCAGCACAAGGCCCGGCCAGAGGCACCTGCCTCATCCTGGACATCTAACCCCTTGGACTATAAACCAAACTAAATCAATTTGTTTAATGTACCAGTCTCAAGTACTCCATCACAGCAGCAAAAACCAGGCTGGTAGATAATTTTTAGAAAGAAAGAAAAAAAGGAGCTTATTCTACTTATTCTAGTCCTTTCGGCTGCACAGAGTGAAAGGGAAAAGATAAACATGGATTTCAGGATCACGCTAGTCTACGATGACAACCAGGGTGTGGCATTTCGGGACTGGGCTTGGGTGTGCCATCTCGCCTATCCAGGCGGTCCCAAGGAGAAACAGCCTGTGTTCTCTAGAAAAGCTCCTCATTCCTCTCCACTTTAAACCCCTGTCTTTAGTGTGTGTATAAACTCACAAACTGGACTAGAGCCTATTCTGTACAAAAACAGTAATAAATCAGAACACACCTTCCTGCCTCACCGCATTTCATGCAGCCTACTTATGAACATAAGCCCCAAACACCCAGCGACTCAGGAAGCATGACCACTGTCCTCTCCGCTCC